AGTGTTTCTTTTCTGCCTATCCAGACCCATGTGGCTTTTTATTACTTGCACACTCTCCTGTGAGCTTCCCAACACAAAGACTTGCCTGAGATTGCCCGTGTCCTAATTCACTTGATGTGGGAGGGCTCTGGACCTGCGTAGGTAACTGACTTAGGTAGTCTGAGGATAGCCGTAGCTGTTAGCTAGTCCTCTTTTACACTTTCCCCTCTGATGTTTTCCCTGAAGTAATGTCAGCTCCCCAAAACTACTCAGACTCTTCCCATATTCCATATGACTATTCCACATTCCTATATTCCATGCATTGACCATAACCCATTACTGTACCCTTTAATGCATTTTCCCCCAACATTTAACCCCCCTCTACTTTATTCAGTGCCACAAATTGATTTACAGTTTCTGTTAATGTTGCAGCGACTTGATTATCTGCTTTCCACTAAGTTATTCCCAATCATAATTTTTAAAAAGTCAACTACACAAGTTCTATTAATTTTCTGTAGAAAGTTAGAGAATAGGGCTAAAAAGGTGAAAATGGTCACTCCCATTCTGGGCGGTAGTTGCTCACTCTGTGATCCAATGCAGTGATAAACACTCCCCTCATCAGTTTCTACTGTGGAAATTATTATAGTTAATACAGCATGTACTATAATGTAATATAATTATGTTTTCATCATTGTTACAAGGCAACAGCTTCTATTATATGCTTCATATATACATTTTCTTGGAATATGACTGTTATAAAAGGGTGCATTGCAGTTGCTTTTGTCCTTCTTTTCCTTAGATTGAATCATCACAACTGGGTGACTGGAGGGTTGTGTGACTCATGAAATCATCAGAAGATAAGTAACCTAGATGGGGGGAGCTCTAGAATCCAAATGAATCAACTGTCATGCCAGTGCCTATTCCAAAGACCCATCTTGATCATTCTAAGTATCTTTTCTTTATAGCATCCAAGTATAGCACCAGCACCCAGTCATTTCAATATATGCTATTAGTCTTGAGGGTCAAAGAAAATGATAAGAAAAGAAAAGCCAATAAATACACATGAGGGAAATGACACTTTTTCTAAGAAAGGATTTCCTGAGGGCTCAGTGTCAATATGAATTCAGTTTCTTCATATTTTTCACATTTTACTCTACCATCATTGCTTAGGAGCTCTGGTAATGTAGTGCCTAAGGCACTTGAGTGCTAACCAGAAGGCTGGTGGTTCAAAGCCACCAGCCACTCTGTGGAAGGAAGGTGGGGCAATCTACTTCTGTAGTGATACTGCCTCAGAAACCCAAGGAGGGGTCACTATGATTCTGGTCCAACTCAACAGCACATAACAACAACAACATCATTGCTTAATTTCACAATGACATCTCATCTCTTGGGAGCTCTGGTGACATAGTGCCTAAGGCATTTGACTGCTAACCAGAAGGCTGGTGGTTCAAACCCACCAGCCATTCCTCAGAAGGAAGGTTGGGCAATCTACTTCTGTAGTGATACTGCCTCAGAAACCCAAAGAGGGGCTGCTATGAGTCAGATCCAACTTGATGGCAGTGAGTTGAGATCTCATCTCTTGATATGTTCCCCTTCTCTCATTTATTGGAATCTCAGGGTAGGAGGTAGATTGTAGCAAAATTATTCTACTCTCATGTCAGTGCCCCACCCAAACTCTGTTTTCTATTTCCTGCAACTCTCCTGAACAACCCGAAGAAGGGCATATAGCTGGTAATTCTTCAAATCACAATCTTGTTATGAGAAATACATGAAGGAACAGAATGGCATGCAGTAGACACAGAGCCTGCCCGTGGCAAGTGCTCAGAGTTCCCTGGGTTTTCAGTTAGAGGTAACAGAAACTGACTTCTCTCCTGTCTGGGACCTCAGTTTCATTAGCTGAACCTGTGGGGTAGTGCCATTGGAAACAGCTCTCTGGTGTTATGCTGGTAGCCAACTTGGTTGGGAGGGGCAGTTAGAGTGTCTCTGACTCCAAGACTTTCTTCTCTATACTCATTAGAATCAACCCACCAGGAAGACATAATGACATTAAGGGTGTATACACCAAAAAAGATGTGCTCAAAAGTACAAAAAGTAAAAACTAATGGAGCTGAAAGGCAAAAAGTGCAATCCACCCTCCTTTCAGCGAGGGACAGAATTACTAGACAGAAAACCAGCAGGGATTTGAAAGAGCTGATTAACATAACAAAAGAACAGAGTAAAAATGACATAAATAGAACAATCCACCCAGCAATAGCAGAGTATAGATTTTTTTTTCTTAAAGAGCCCATAATATTCACCATGATAGACCATTTCCTGGGTCAAATAAGCTTCAATAAAATTAAAAGAATTGAAATACAGAGTATTTTTCTCTGAGGTCATTTGATTGCTAACCAGAAGGCTGGTGGTTCAAACCCACCAGCCACTCCTCAGAAGGGAGGTTGGGCAATCTACTTCCATAGTGATACTGCCTTAGAAACCCAAGGAGGGGTCGCTATGAGTTGGGCCCGACTCGACAGCAGTGGGGTTTGGATAAAATGGAATCAGACTAGAAATCATCGTCAGCAAACAAAAGAAAAAAAAAAGTCTCTAACACTTGGAAATTGTAGTTGACACCTGTCATTCCAGTTTGTTGTTCAGACACTGGTTTTTCAGAAGAGCTGAGTGAGGAAGAGTTGTTTCCAGGAACTGGTTCAAGATCACAGAGAGTGAAAGGCATATCAGTCTGAGAAAAGAAAAGTCACTTTGGATATTTCAGAGTGTTGTTGAGGGCAAGGCTGGAGGCAGGGAGGCAGTTGAGGAAGCTATTAATTCAGACCCACCTGTCATTTAAGCTTGTATGGTAGAGGTAGAGGAAGTAGAACTTGCTGATCAATAATTAAGCCATTTTAGTGGCTGATGGGAATTGGGAGATGTGGGAGAGGTTGCCGCCCACGTTTTGGTGCAGTTGGTAGATTAAAGAGTTGAGAAGGAAGGTAAGATTATGATGCCTTCTTCATGTATGGCTGGTGTCCAGTCTAAACAATGGACATTCACACCCTTATTCTTTATAAATCCTGCACTGTTTCTTGAAATGTTCAACAGTGTTAACGCCTTCTCCAAGATTTCTCCCGTGATGCCATCTGTCAGATATTGTCTCATATCTAGGTAGAGAAGTTTGCTCATGGATGTTGGTGAGATTGCTCGATTAGGGCAGGTTGATACTTTGCTTGCCTTACTGTGGTGTTAGACCAAGATGGGGTACATGATATGCAAACCACTGATGTGTCTTTAAATTTATGCATTTGTTTACAATCTCAGAATACAAGGAAAGAAAGAAGGGTTGGAGTTCTTTCCAAGGGAATCATGCTAAAGACATCCTTCATTATGAACACGGTGAGTATGAGCTTCAACCTCCATACCTCCAAAAGGATGATGGGAAGGTGGCAACAAGGGATCCTTACAAACAACTCCAAGTAAAACAGTAAGTGCCAGGCAGCTTGGCTTGTATGCAGCAACCACGGGGACTATGCAACTCTCACTCTCTGGGTTATGATGTTTTTCTTCCCTCTCTTGAAAACTGAAGGACGCTAGATGTGGAATAATGGTTGAACAACCACAATTGTATCCCTGCTGTCAGTGAGGGGAAGGTGTGTAGAAGGCATTCTTAGAATTTATGGAAACCTTCTTTATCCACTTCCCCACAGTAGGACCTATACCCCTCAATCCAATGATAAAATGGTAATATGGCATAATAAAGACCATATGCTTATTCCTTTGTGGAGAAATAGAAGATTTTCAAAGTTCAAGATCACAGTGAGTCCTGGAAAAATGTATGTAGTGCATAGTGTTATTGTTGGTGGGACTGTACTGATGGAATTGTGCTGGTCCTGTGAAGAAATACTGGGTACTTTACTAGAAGCAAGGGAAATTGGTCATCTTTCCTTTTTATTACTAGGAGTCAACATGCTTTACCATCTAAGTGTTCAGAGAAACGATAAAAAAGGAAAACACCGATAGGAATGCCAGTGAAGTTGCTTAAAGGCAAAGGTAGGAGCTACTTTCAAAGAGATGGAGTCACTCACTCCCTGCAACATGACACAGTTCATCTCATATTGAGTGTGTGTCTTGGAGGTAGAAAGAATATGGGGTCAAATATCTGGAGTCCTTGTCAGAGGAGAAGGCAGGGTGTGCATTGGTAGGATCTCCTGGAATCTTAACAAAAAAAAAAAGGAAGATGATGTCAAACATCTAAAGGTGATTATTTGGAGGTGAGCTTGTTGAATGGTAAGAAAAATAAGAAATGTCAATGTTCCCTTCTTTAGAAATCTTTTAAAACTCAATGGAAGGTCAGAACAGAACACTTCCTTGGGTCTGTTCTCCAGTCTTAATTCCATGTTGTCATTCTCTCCTATATTTTATTTTACTCACAGGTTCTTTATGGGAGAACACACAACAAGATATGGCTACTGAATTCCATCCACAGACATTGAGTGTCCCTTTCACCTTGGTTGATGTAAGAGAGGACAGGGAAGCCAGATGACTGGGCACAAAGGAGGGATGTGACCTGGATCAGCAGGGATCTTTACCTTCCAACATTATTGCTATTACCTCTGCTCCCTGTAGTTCCATTACATGAAAAAGCATAGCTCTTACTGCAGGATTCTAGCACTGCATCTGTATTTAAGGCTATCAACAACAAGATATGTGATGAAGAAAACCAAAGGGTGTGAGTTAAGGGCACTAATTGTACCTAGTTTTGGGGCAAGAAGACAGAACAGGGGCTGGACCATCTTATTTGTGATTAGAGTTCAAGGTACTCATCTGCAACTATTTCCTGCAGATAGCTATCATTTTCAACAGTTCTGTTGTACCTCACTTTGTGCAGACTAAGGTGAGGCTAGAACAACTAAAGGTAATGTAGACTCAAGACATGCTGTGTACTCACACCCAGACCCCCTCTTTTTACCCACCCCAATTTCTCCATCATCACCACCACAGCAACTGCTCCAGAGTTGCTATTTCCACTGCTTTTGAAGCTGACCATGAACAAAGAATATGATGTTTTCCAGCAAGCTCTTGACGCCAGAGCTTTGGCTGTGACCCAGGTAAGGCTGACAGCAGTAATTCTAGGACAGGTGAGGGTACAGGGGTATGCTTAGAGAGAGACTTAGGGATGGTAACTTGGGGAGGGGTTGGCACTGGTGTTGATCCAGTTGGTCCATCTCAGCTTTCTGAGTCCTTTTTCTCAGCTTCTCGAAGACTTAGTGGACCATAATATTGACATGATCCTGAATCGAAGAAAATGCGTGGCTGCCACCCAGAAGATCATTGAAGAGAAATTCTCTGAGGTAAGGCCCTAGGCCCCATGCTGGCATTTAGGTGGAGGGGTGGAAACATGAAACAGAGAACAGATTTATCTCTGAAGCCCTAGATATTAACCATCAATCTAACTCTTTTTTCTCAGACACTGTTGTCCAGGAACTTGAGCAGCCCCAAACTGTACCAGCTGGATAGGCCATCAGATATACAGAAGGTCCCCTTCTCCAACAACGATGTAACAAGTAGAAGGCAGATCTAATTTACGTTGAGGGTGGGTGACAATGCCCATCAGGTTGATGAAAGAGGCAGGAAGGTGCCTGTGGGTGAGGGTGAAAACTAGGGGTGCAGGAGCTCAATGTCTCTCTATCCCTGGGATTCCCCTCCCTTGTTTCCTCCCCATTTTCTCAGCTAAAGTCGGCATGGGAGTTGAAAAAATAAGGTTGAAACTCAAACAGCTGTGGCTAGAAGGAAACCTGTTGTGCAACACCTTCTCAGAAGAGTCCAGGTATGTTAGGTCGGTGGGGAGTCCTGGGTGGGACAAATGGGTAAGCACTCAACTACCAGCTCAATGGTTGGCAGTTCAAACCCACCCACAGACACCTCAAAAGTCAGGTCTGGTGATCTGCTTCATAAAGGTCACAGGCTTGAACAGTCTACGGAGCACACATGGACATTGCACATACGGGTTTGCCATGAGTCAGAATTGACTCAGTGGCAACTAACAACAGCAAGGTCAGTGGTGAACACTGTCTACCCAATTGGGAACTGTTTTTGGTTACCTCATGCCACTCTTACAGGAATATGCCACAAATGGGATGGCTTGAACAAATAGGAATTTATTCTCTTACAATTTTGGAGGCTAGAAGTCTTAGTTCAAAGTGCTAGGCTCTAGGGGCTGGGTGAAAGCCTCTCGACCTTGGGTTTCAGCTCTTCCTCTTTCTCCCATCCCACTGAAGCTAGAAACATCTCTTAACTCAGGCAGCTGCTGGCTGCTGATGCTGACAAACCCAAGGTCGACAAGTGACAAGGCATAGTCCCCATATTACCAAACCACATGGTAGGCCATTGATTCAAGTCCATTAAAAGTCCCAAGACTGGCAGAGAATGGCAGGCTGCTGAATGAAGACTCAGGTACACGTGGGGTCCAAGAGTGCCAAAAAGCTGTAGACCATTCCCAAAGCTTCTGCTTATATACTAGAAGCAGACCACATATCTAAAGCAGCTACTCAGCTGTTCCAGTAGATTCCACCACAGAACTGATTGCCAATCTCACCATGGGGAATAACTACATCCAGCTGCCCAGCCACTCAACCAGACCCAGCCAACTTGACATACAACCTTAACTACCACAGGAACCTTCACTCGATGGCATTCTGAGCTACTCCTGACAGTGCCCATCTACATGTGGCTGCAGCCCCACTCTTTGGGAGGACCACACTCCCCACACTCTCCTCTCTCTGTCTCTCACCTGTGCTTAGAGGTTTCTCTGGCTTCTTTGGGAAGCTCTCACTGGGAGCTGGTGCCTGTTTCCCACTTTTCTATCTGCACCCAGCCTTCTCTGCCTTGACTTCTCCCAAATGTCCCAGGAAGCAGGGATCCCTCTTATTTCCCAGGACCAGGGGTGTACACACATTGCCCTGCTCCCCTACTAGGGCTGACTTGAGCCAGATTCTGGACCCTGGACTATGAAGCTTCCTCCTTACCAGGGCTTTCCTGTCTCTGAGTTGAGAAGGGGCTTACCTCCGGCCTCATTGACTGCTCTGTTTCTCATGCCCAGCTCAGATGAGATCACATAGGTTACAAAGGCCAATGGGTCCCCAGACCAACAAGTACCTGTTTTCCATTCCTACCTCATCCCCAGTGCCAGCCAGGTGAAGATGAAGGACAGGAAGCAGCAGGGGAGCCATTTCCTCTGTCTTCTCTCCTTTCTCAGTAGTCCTCACCACCCACAGTAAATTTCTTCAGTTTGTCTTTCCTTGTCCTCTACTTCCCTATGTCTCCTCATCTCTCCCTGCCTCTACCTTCTCTCCTCATTCCCTCCTTGCCTGCCAAATGTGCCTCACTCATCTTGCTACCCAGGCATCCTGGGTCAACCCTGAAGGATGTCCTTGTCTTTTCCAGGTACAGGTCTGGCAGACCCCTGGACATCTGGTGAGGTAGCAGAGTCCTGTTCCCTAACCCATGCCCTCCTCCATCTGGAGTCTTCCCTGGGGAATTGGAGGGAGATCAGTGAAGCAGGGAAAGGAAAGAATCACGGGAGCCTGGGTTCCACAAGCTAATTCTGTGTCCCTGGAGATCAGAGTCAGGGCCTTCCACATGGGAGCTTGCCAGGAAGAAGGAGAGGGGTATGGATAGAGTGCCCACTAGCTCTCTCTGGGTCAGTCCATGGATGAGGAGCCCAGGGTCCTGAAGGGGTTGTGGCCCTGGATTGTAGGTGGGACACACCTGGCTGTGTTCCTGTGTAGATGTACTTGTTTTCATGAGATGGGTCAGCTCCATTGTTACTTGCTTCTCTGTTTTGTCTTGATATTAACAGCTCCCTCCTGGAATTATTCCCTAAGTTACTACACCTGGTAAGTGTATTCCTGTATCCTTGACTCCTCTACTGGGTACACATGTCGCTCACAACCTGCTCTGAATCATTTAGATCTTGCCCTGGTGAGATTTTTTTTTATCTGATCCTGTGATAGTTGGAGTTA